AGTCTGCGCCTCGACGAATCGGGCATGCGAGAAGATCACTCTTCCCCCCGTCCCTAACACTGTGTTTGCATGCACATGCTCCGCGCGTGACGCGTTTAATCGGGTTTCCCGCGCCCTGGCCACGCTCTTGTGCACGCCGGCACGCGCGCAGCCCGCAGCAATGGGCGGTCATCCCGTCGTGGCGAGGTTGAGGAAGGTTGTGCCGACGACGATGAGCGCGATGCCAGTCACCTTGAGGGAGGAGACGGACTCGCCGAGGAACGCCATGCCGACAAAGGAGAGGACGGCCATCACGGCCGCCGACCAGACCGCATACGCGATCGAGATCTCGAGCGCTCGCAGAGAGAAGTTGAAGCCAAGGAAGGAGGCGGCGTAAAAGACGCACGCGAGCGCCGCCTGGAGGGGGCGGCTAAAGCCCTGGGCAGCGTGCATGAAGTAGGTGCTCACCAGCTCGAACAGAGTCGCCGCAAACAGGACGCCCCACCCCTCGGCGACGGACATGCCGCCGCGCAGCGGGAGCAGCGAGAGCAGCGCCGAGCTGTCGGCACAGGAGGACGACGGCCTCGCTGATCCCGCGGCCGGCGCGCCGCCGGCACTGGTGAGGAGAGGCTGTCCCGAGGGCGTTAGTCCCATTATAGTGTCGACAGAGAAAGAATTCTACGACGCAAGCCCCTCTCACAGCAGACTGGCACGAACTAGCACCACAAAAGGCACAGCAGAGAAAGAATTCTTAAACCACTCTCACAGCACACTGGCAGACGGCATACGGCCTAGGGCTCGGCTGGGCGCGCACGCGCACGCGCGCGCGTCGCGCGCCACGCGTCGCTCCGCGAGGGCGCGCGCCAACCGCGATTCGAACCGGGGCCAAAAGGCGCCTGGAGCGACCGCGGTCCGGTCGCGCCACCGCGGCTGCGGGGCTGATAGAGCAGGCCGGCTGCGGCTCCTAATGTACCTCCGCTTTTGGGTGGCGGTCGCGCGCTGCCGACGGCGCTCGCCGGCGCTACGGCGCTCGCGGCGCGCTCGTGGCGTTCAGGGCGGCTCGCACACGCACACGCACACACACACACACACACACACACACACATGCACAGACACACAGCCCCTTCCCCTCCCCCCTCAAGGGCGAGGACACGCACAGGCCGCACCTCTAGTGAGGCCCGCATAGTATGTGGGAGACTCGTGCCGCCGCCCCTGCCACCCCTGTGTCAGTGTGCCTGTGGTAGGAGAGACTGCCAGCGACAAGCTGGAGGCAGGTCGCTAGACTGAGATGAGACCGCCAGTGGATGTGGGAGTCCACCGCGCACCGCGCTGCGAGCCTGTCGTGACCCTTGTCAGGAGCAGGAGAGCCCCACCTGTCCCCCTGATCGTCCTTCCAAAATCCTGCTGTGCAGGTGTGGACCCTGTCCTCGTCCCATCCCTCGTTTGGCGTGTCTGTTTTCTTTCGTTCTTTTTCTGGCACGACAAGGGTGCGGACTGGAGCGGACTGGCACACACACCGGCTCACAGAGAAAGAATTCTTAAAATACAGAGAAAGAAAGACAGCCGCAAGCGCTTCTTAGTCCCCGGCCCTGGATGTGAGGTTACTAACTGCACTCCAAGTGCTCACCTGAGGGGAGGTTAGGGGGGGATTCGCGGGGCTCGGGTCGGCCGGAGGCAAGGGACTGGGAGGGCGCCGCAGCAGGGATAGTGGCGGTCTATCGCGCCACCTCGAGGTGTTTGAGTGTGTAGATGAGGGGCTTCCCCTCGCGAAACAGGGCGTCAAGTGGTGCTTGAGCTCGCGCAGCCGGCAGCGGCAGCGGCCGTCCTGCGTAAAGAGGCCAGGTCAAGCAAAGGTCAGGTCCGGTCCAACTGTGCTAGAGCCAACAGCCCCTAAGAAGGTCGAGGCCTTCACTGTGGCCAGCGTCGGGGCAGCCCGCCACAGCACCGCCTTCACCGCCGACGGCGCCGTCTTTACCTGGGGCGAGGGCGAGGTCGCGAGGACGGCTGGAGCTAGGCCAACGCGCAACGGGGAGGACCTATCGAACCAGCTGCTGCCCAAGAAGGTCGAGACGTTGGGGGCACGGCCTCTGTATTTTACGCGGCTGTTCAGCCTTGCTCATGGCTAGCAGTGCCCAGAGAGAGAGGGCGGGGTCCGTCTATTTCGCTCTCTGCTCTGTCTCTGTCTCTGTCTCTGTCTCTGTCTCTGTCTCTCTCTCTCTCTCTCTCTCTCTCTCTCTCTCTCTCTCTCTCTCTCTCTCTCTCTCTCTCTCCCCCCCCCCCCCCCCTGCCCGCTGTGACACACGGCACGCGACGACGACGTGGCCAGGGAGGTCGAGCTCACTGGGGCGGGGCGAGGGGTCATCTCTCGCGTCATCTCTCGGGCCATCTCGGGTCATCTCTGGTCACATCTCCGGCGATCTCGGGTCACCTCCGGTCATCTCGGGTCACCTCGGGTCACCTCGGGTCACCTCGGGTCACCTCGGGTCACCTCGGGTCACCTCGGGCAGGTCGAGCTCCTGAAGTGGCACGCGTCGGACGCCCACGCGGCGCCCGTCGCGCTCGCCTTTGTGCAGATCCGGCTGCCGGAACTCCTCGCCGCCAAGAAGCAGCGGGGAGGGCCGGGCGGCGGAGGGAGTCGAGCAGGCGGTGGAAAGGCGGGGAGCCGGGGTAGGGGTGGGGGTGGAGGCGGGCGCAAGCGAGCGGAGATCTGCCAGCATGGCCGTGAGGGGAAGAGAATTTAAAAACAAACAAAAGAACTCTCTCTCACAGCACACAGGCTCGACAGGGGAAGAGAAAGAAGTCAGGGAGCGAGTGAAACCACTCACGCAGATGATAGCGTGACGACTTGTTGACCACTTGCCACGCATCATGTGGGGGTCGCAAGCAATTAACGGAGGGGCTTGTTCTCCCGCCTCGCGCCAGGCATTTTTCTTTTTTACAGTTGGTCCTTTTTTGGGCTGCGGCATACCTGGGGTCTCCGCACACGCTATGTACGACCGCCCGCCCCCACATACACCAGATCTGGCGGCCGAAGCTTCGTCCGAGCCAGCACCCTCGCCAGCGCCCACAGCAGCACCCACTCGCAAGCGCAAGCCGCCCGCCGCATGCTGGGGGCAGGAGCTGAGTGGCTTGTCACAGTGTGCCCTGGTGGAGGCGCCGTCCAACGCCTTCAACCACCGATTCTGTGCTGTGTGCCGAAAACGAGGCGTCGAAATCCTAGCCTCCCGCATCCGCGAAGTGGTCGAGGTGGCGGGCTCGGCGCCTGTTACCAACGAGCATGCGGGCGGCGCGTGGAACATGAGGCGCGGCACGTCGCGGTGGCCTGAGCATCGCGTGGTGAACCAGACAACTGATTCTACGGGGCCGAAGCTCGTGATTCTGCGCGAGGAGACGACCGGCGAGCTGCCCGGCCTCGTCCCATTGCGGTGCGCGGCAGGGCACGCGGTTCTATTCCGAGTGGGTCGGACGCTCCAGCCGCGGGTGCCTCTCTGGCGGACCTCTCCCGTCCTCAATATCTCGTCAGGCTCCAGCTCGTCGACCGAGTCGCAGGCCCACAGCCGCGGAGAGACGCCGCCGAGCACAGTGGCCCCCCTCGCGCCCTGGAGCGACTTGTGGGAGGTCACCAGCGGGTCGACGGTGGATGGCATGTCCTGGACAGGCGCCATCGCATATGCCAGTGCCAGCGCTGGTGGCAGCACCAGCACCAGCACCAGCAGCAACGGCAGCAACGGCAGCAGCAGCAGCAGTAGCAGCAACAGCACCGGCAGCAGCACCGGCAGCAGCATCGGCAGCAGCAACACCGGTAGCGGCAGCAACAACAGCGGCAGCGGCAACAACAACAGCGGCAGCAGCAGCGGCAGCAGCAGCAGCGGCACCATCAGCGGCAGCGGCAGCACCATCAGCAGCAGCAGCTGCACCGGCAGCAGCAGCACCGGCAGCAACACCTTCTGTCCAGGGGGAGGAGCAGGAGCGGAGGAGCCAAGCGGGGTCTTGCACGGAGCGGAGGGGTACTTCGAAGACGAAGGCTTTGTTGACGAGCTCTTCACGGTCGAGCAAGTCGAGCAGTTCTTCTCGCCGCCCGCCTCGCCACCTGACCTGCTGCCGCAGCGCGGCGCGCCTCTTCCCTCGAAATTCTGGCACTACGCGCTGCCAGTGCTATGCTACGGCCACGATCTTCCTGGTATGCTCCGCGCGCTGACTACACGGTGGCACGGGGAACCCGAAGGGCCGCTGGCACTGGCCGGGCCGCTGGCGCTTGCAATGCCCATTATGTTCATTTGGGTCTCAATGATTGCCTGTAACCTCCTTGTCTTAGGACCGCTGACAAACAAACCACAGCCGCTGTCCATTCAGCTTGCGGGTACGGCTATGATCGTCTACCAATGCATTGTTGCTCTTTCTCGTTTTCAACTCACCAGTCAATCGGCCACAATCGAGGAGCTGGCCAGTTGGGGAAAACCGGCTCTTGACGCCGTCGTGGGCGTCGCGCTTCAAAGCGCTGCCAGCCTCGGCCAGATCGCACCTTGGACTTGCGTCCGCGCGCGCATTGGTTTGATGGGTGCTACGGGGGTATTCTGCAGCACAGTCCTGTGGTTCTGGACAGATGGCCGCGCCACTGCATATCCACCGGGCCCATCGACGTTTGGAATTTCCCTCTCAGTAGGGTGCTGCGGCCTGAGCCTCGTCCCGCTTACCAGCCCCAGCATGAGGCTTTGGCTTGGCAAGCCGTGGATCAAGCACGAAACGGCGGCGGCGCCGGCGCTGACCGCTGTTGTAGACCCCTTTACGGGTAGCTCTCTTTCTCGCTCTAGTCTGTTGTAAGGAAAGGAATCACCTCGGGGGCCCCAAATCGATCCTAAAGCGCAGCTTGCGATCCTAAAGCATTGATGCCGGCGGCCCACCCCTCTTTTTCGCGGCGCGCACACACCTCCCGCCTTTTGTGGGGGGTATTGCACCGTCTCCGCTGTCGTAGGTGTGCTCTAGTCGTCTCCGTACGGGTACTCTCCGTCTCCTCCGTGGCCCGGCTCGGGCTCCTCCGGGGGCGGCGCCTCCTCGTATTTCACATCAACGTCGTGCGCCTGCGGCAAAGCAGGCCGGCGGGGGAGGGGTGGTGGGCAGGGCAAACGGGAGGCGGGGATCCCCCTCCCTCTGGTGGCTGCGGCGCGCGCTCGCCGAGAGCCACTCCGCGATCCACTCGGGCGTGAACTCCTCCTTTTTTCGGGGCACGGCGAGCGCAAACTTGGCTGCGCCACTGCTGTCGAGGAGCAGCAGCCCTGGGACGGGCGGCTTCTTGCCGTTGATAAGCGGCATCACGGGTGGCGCGCTGTACGAGCCGCTCCACGCGTATGCCACTTGCTGGCCAGCCGTCTCGTACGCAAGCTTGTCGAACGCCTAAGTCAAAAAGACGGGAGACCCGCGGCATTGGCAATGCAAAGCCCGGGTGCACGTGGGTGCTGCGCGTGCGTGCCCCCGCCCGATGTATGTTTTCACGTGGGTGAGCGTTGTGTGTCGAGCACCTTGTACGCGCTCGACGCCTTGACGGGCTGGCGGAAGAGGCCGAGCACGAGCGGCTTGCCTGCGCTCGCCTTGAGCGCGGCGGTCAGGTCGTCGTCCGACTTGATCTGCGAGGGCGGGACAAAGGAGGCGATCTTCTGCAGCGCAGCGACGATCTGATCCGCCTCCCGTCCGCCGCTGTAGTCCTCGGCCACCCCGTTTCTGAAGAGCTTGAGCGTCGGGTAGCCGCTCACGCCAAAGCGGCCAGCGAGGTCGCCGTGGGCGTCGGCGTCAAGTTTGGCGAGTGGCACAGGTGTGTCGAGCTTCTTCGACTTGGCCGCCGCCTCGGCCCACTTGGGCGCGAGCTCTTTGCAGTGTCCGCACCTAAGCGCGATGTCCTGGGGTCGCAGCGGCGGTGACGACGGTGGAGGCAGCGGCAAGGTTGCAGCGGTCGAGGAGGCAACGGCAAGGAGGCAGCGGTGCGCGACCAAGGCGAGTGTCCGCGCACCAGGGAGCATAAAACTCGACCAACGCGAGCGGGTTCGTGGAGATGAACGCGTCAAAGTTTTTCGTGTCGAGCACGACGACGTCCTCCTCCTCGGGAAACGCGGCGGCGGCCGCACGAGTGGCGAGGGCTAGGACGAGGAGCGAGCGAAGCAGCGAGCGCATTGTGTGGTGTACGACGGCAGTACGACGGCAGTGCGTCGTGACTAAGCGGGAAGGACGTGGCGGAAGATAGAAAAAGAATTTAAACACTAACTCTCTCTCACAGCAGACAGGCTCGACACAGGTAGAAAAAGAATTTTACAACAAAAGGCGGTCGCACGACACGATTCACGCGACAGGCGAGGCGCGGGCGACGGCTTCCTCAGAAGCCGTCGCCCGCACCACAGGAGCAGTCACACCACTCCCACCCCGGCGCCCACCCACTCTCCACCCCGACATCCCCACCCCACCCCACAACCCCGCCCCCCCCCGACCCGAGCAACCCCGCCCCAACCCGACCCGACCCGATCCACCCCGCCCCCCCCCACCGGACCAACCCGCGAGCCGCTCCCGGCTCCGCCCCTCGCCCAATCCCCACCCGCGCCTGCGCCTGCCACCCGCGCCGCCTCCCCGACGCGCGCACACGACGCCAGCCACCTCGCCCGCCGCCCCGCCCGCGCGCCCGCCGCCTCGCCCGGCCTTCGCGCCCGCTCGCTCGAGCACCGCCCCCGCCGGCGTTCCGACGGCCGCCGCCCCGCCCGCCGCCAATCCCGTGGCCTCACCAAAAGAAGAGAACGGACTGCCGGCCACGCCCGAGACGAGCTCGAGCGAATTACCTCCGACAGTCACGACGTGGGCACGTCCAGGATCAGGCAGCGAGCGAGGGCAGCCGCCCTCCCCACCCAGCGTTCCGACGGCCGCCGCCTCGCCCGTGGCCTCACCAAAAGAAGAAACCCGAACCCCGAATTCTTTTCTGGCGGCGAGGGCTGCAGTGGCACGCGCACCCCAGAGGCGGAGAGCGGCGCCCGCGAGGCGCGGGCCGCAGTTGTTCCTGGCGGAGGTGGACCCGCTGTGTCAATTGACACATCGGATTCCACGCCGCCGGCGGAGGAGGGACTTGGGCGCACGGTGCTGTCGGCTGGCAGTTCTGGCCCGCCTTCTGGTCTTGGAGATGTCCACGTTCACGCGACTGTCGGAGGTAAATCGCCCGAGCTCGTCTCGGGCGTGGCCGGCACTCCGTTCTTTTATTCCCAGGTGAGTGCAATCCAGGATCAGGTGGCGGGCGGGGCGGCTGTCAGGACGCCAGCGGAGGCGACGGTCGAGCGGGCGGGCGTGAGGACCGGGCGAGGCGGCGGGCGGCGGGCGAGGCGCCAGGCGGGACGGCTGCTGGCGCAAGTGCGCATGGGGGAGACGGCGGCGCGGGTGGCGAGCGCACGCGCAGATGGGGGGATCGGGAGGGGGGCGGAGTCGATTGCGGCTTTGGGGAGGGTCCGGCGGGGAGGGCGGGGTGGGTCGGGACGGGGTGGGGCTTTGGGGAGGGGTCCGGGGTGGGGTGGGGTGGGGCGGGTGTCGGAGGAGGGGATTTCGGACGCCGGCTCTTGTGGCGAGGACGATGGCTTCTAAGGAAGCCGTCGTCTGCGCCTTGTCTGTCGTGTGAATCGTGCGTGTGCGAGAGCCTTGGGTGTGGAAATTCTTTTGATAGCGCCTTTGTTCTTGTCGCACCGTTTTTCTTTTCTCGCGATGTCCACCCCGCCGCGCCGCCGCTCGCGCCGCCTCGCCTCCGCCACCACCGCCGCGCCCTCGCCAGACGCGCCGCCGCCCGCCCGCCTCCTCGACCTCCCCAGAGAGCTCCTCGAGCGCGCCCTCTCTCGCTGCGACAGCCCCGTCGACATCGCTCGCGTCGCGGCCGTCTCGCTGCTCTTTCACTCGCTCGCGGAGCAGGGCATCCGCTTGTGGGCGCAAGAGCGCGGCGTCGAGCTGCCGGCGCAGCCAGAGGACGAGAGCTGCGCCGTGCGGTGGCTGTGCTATTCTGCGCTGCTTCGCGAGTCCAACCCGCCGGCGAGGGCGGCGGCAGGAAAGCAGCACAGCGTCTTCATCGACGGCGAGGGGCGGCTCTCGTCGTGCGGCTCGGCGGATGGCGTGCCAGCCCTCCTCGGTCACGGCGAGGGCGTGACGCGGCTCAACACGCCGACCCGCCTCTACTCTTCGCTGGGCGGCGAGCGTGCCGTGAGCGTGTCCGCTGCAACCCACCACAGCCTCGCCCTGACCGCCGACGGCGCTGTCTGGAGCTGGGGCGTTGGAATTTCGGGCCGGTTAGGCCACGGCGACACGCAGCGCCAGCTGCTGCCCAAGAAGGTCGAGTCCTTTGCTGGCCAGCGCGTCGTCGCCGTGTCCGCGGGAGACAACCACAGCCTCGCCATCACCAGCGACGGTTTCCTCAGGAGCTGGGGCTGGGGAGCCTATGGCCAGCTGGGCCACGGCGACGTGCAGAGCCAGCTGCTGCCGAAGAAGATCGAGGCGTTGGGGGGGCACCGCGTCGTCGCTGTGTCGGCTGGACCTTTGCACAGCCTCGCCATCACCACCGATGGCGCTGTCTGGAGCTGGGGCTGGGGAGGGCAAGGCCGGTTGGGCCACGGCGACCAGCAGGAGCAACTGCTGCCGAAGAAGGCTGAGGCCTTGGCGGGGCGGCGCGTCGTCGCTGTGTCGGCTGGAAGCACTCACAGCCTCGCCCTCACCGCCGATGGCGCTGTCTGGAGCTGGGGCGGTGGAGGCTTAGGCCAGCTGGGCCACGGCGACACGCAGTACCAGCTGCTGCCCAAGAAGATCGAGGCCTTTACTTGCCAGCGCGTCGTCGCTGTGTCTGCTGGAGCCGGCCACAGCCTCGCCCTCACCGCCGACGGCGCTGTCTGGAGCTGGGGCCGTGGAGGGGAAGGCCGGCTAGGCCACGGCGACGAGCAGACCCAGCCGCTGCCGAGGAAGATCGAGGCCTTGACTGGGCCGCGAGTTGTTGCTGTCTCGGCTGAGGCCATGCACAGCCTCGCCGTCACCGCCGACGGCGCCGTGTTTGCCTGGGGCAAGGGCGAGGCCGGCTGCCTAGGCCACGGGGAGGACCTGTCGAACCAGCTGCTGCCCAAGAAGGTCGAGGAGTGGGCGCCGGGGCAGTGATGAGAAAGGGCGAAAGGGTGCAAGGCTCTGTGTTGCCGCGTCGCCCACATGCCTATTCGCTACCTGAGAACGTATCCGAGAGTGGCGAGAGATGCGACAACCTCGATTTCTTTTTCCTGGTTCCCCTCACTCGCTTGTCGCTGTGGCCTCCTGAAGGCGACGAGCGTGCCGTGTTCCCAACCCCGTCGCCGCCTACGCCTTCCGCTGCCGCCGCCAGCCTGTGCCGCCGCCGCCGCCTTCCAATATGGCACGCTTCGTCGCCGCTGTCGTGCAGGCCGCGCCGGTCTGGATGGACCGTGCGGCGACGACAAAGAAGGCATGCCGCCTCATCCACGAGGCTTCACAGCAGGGAGCACGCATTGTCGCCTTCCCCGAGTCCTTCATTCCCGCGTTTCCCTACGGCGTGTGGCATCACGGCGTGCGACGCAACATGCGTTTCTACCAGCAGCTGACCGAGTGCGCGGTCTCGCTCGACGGCCCAGAGATTTCCATGATACAGGAACGAATGGTCTCGCAGTGACGCCCGTCCATATCACTCCCACTGCCATCCCTCTCCTTCCAACGCCACAGGTTGCTGCGCGAAAGGCGGGATGCGTCGTGGTGATGGGCGTGACGGAGCGAGACGGCGGCAGCCTTTTCAACTCCCAGGTCTTTGTGGGAGCCGACGGCACCCTCCTGGGACGGCGACGGAAGCTCAAGCCCACGAGCGCCGAGCGGCTCATTTGGGGCGAGGGCGACGGCTCGGGGCTGCGCGTGTTTGACACGGGCGAAATTGCCGGCCGCGTCGGCGGTCTGATCTGTGGAGAGCACAACCTCGCCCTCGCCCGGTACACCATGCAGAGCCAGCAGGAGCAGGCGGGGCTTGCCGCCAGACGCGGCAGGGGCGTCCTCCCAGCAGTGGCGCCATCTGCACTTCTTTCGTGTTCCACTCTTAGGTGCACGTGGCCTCGTACCCCGACCCACGAATGGAAGGGCGGCCGTTTGCGGACCGCGTCGATGCGGCCGTGCGGCACTACGCGGCGGAGGGTCAGTGCTTCGTCCTCAACGCCACCGCTCTGCTCGATGACGCCGCGCGCGCAGCCCTTTACGACACGGCCGAGCTCGCCTCCCTAGATGGGGAGTACGAAATCTAGAGCACGCGTATTCAACTACTTCCGCTATGTTCGCCCTATTTGCATATGCCTAGTATTCGCGTGGTGAAGCATACTGCGCGGTCCCGTGCTCCCGCCCTGACTCTGGTGTACCCGCACTGTAGCTCTGTAGGCTCGCCTCCGAGCTGGATCGAGACCCGCAGGCGCTCTCCGGCTGCTCGTCGATCATCGCACCCGACGGGCGGTGCGCGTGACCTCGGCTGATCTCCGCTGATCTCGGCTGATCTCGGCTGATCTCCGCTGATCTCCGCTGATCTCTGGTCGGCATGCCAGGCACATTGCCGGCCCCGTGAGCGGTCGCGAGGCGATCCTCACCGCGGAGGTCGACCTCGGCCGCATCCCGCTCTCCAAGTTTTGGTTCGACCCGCCCGGCCACTCTGGCAGACCCGACGTCTTCGACCTCCGGGTCTGCTTTGGTGGCGCAGGCGGGAGCGGCTGGTCTGCGGCGTGTGAGCCACCTCCAGCGCCGCCGCCGAAGCCGCCACCGCCGCTGCAGCCGCCGCCGCCGCGACAGCCGCCGCCGCCGCTACAGCCGCCGCGACCGCCGCCCCCGATCGCCACCACGCTGGCCGGCGGTGCGGCGGCTGCGCGGCAGCTCGGCTTGCGCATCAATTTGGGTGGCGCGAGCCTCGCCGACGTGGAGGGCGACACCTTGGCTGCGGTCCTCGACGCCGTGTGGCGGCACGGCGTCGTGTGTGTGGAGGCGCAGGCGCTCGACGCCGCCGCGATGCTGCGCCTCGCGCACCGCGTCGGGGAGCCGCTCACCCTCCCACCCTGCTTCTTCGAGGGCATGCGGGACCCGGCTCTGCCGCAGGTAACCCTGACCATGACCCTGACCCTGGCCCTGGCCCTGAGCCCCGGCTCTGCCGCAGGTCTGCCGCGTGGGCAACCTCCGGCCCGGCGCGGAGAGCGCGACAGACACCTCGACGGCGCCGGAGCTGCTGGTGCGCGGCATGAAGTTTGCAGAGTATTGGCACCATGTCGGCAACTTCCTGGACACTTCCTAGACACTCCCTAGACACTCCCTAGACACTGCCTAGGCATCACGACGGCAACTTCTACGCGCCGCCGCGCAACGCCGTGCTCAACGCGCTGCACGCCAAGGTCGTTCCCGACGTCGGCGGCGCCACACGCTTCCTCGACTCCACGGGTGAGATCCGCGCCCGCGGGCCGCATCTGGGAAGCTTCTCGGAGCCTTCCCCGGACCCTTCCCCGAATGTACCCATGCAGGCGCGCTCCGCGCCGGCGCGGCGCCCGCCGGCGTCTTCTCACTCGACGAGCTGGCGGCACTGGCGCACTCGACGCTCACCGTCTCGGCCGACTGCATCTCCGACTTTGCGGGCGCGCCCGATGCGGACATCACGCCGCTCGGCATGCCGCACGTCCACCCGGCGCTCCAGCCCCACCCGCGGACGGGCGAGGAGTGCTTGTACTTGCCGCTCAACCCGGAGGGCCTGTACGACGCTCGCTCGCGCTTGCACTGGGCGACGAACGCCAGCGTGTGGTCGCGCCTCGAGGAGTCGGGCTTCGCATACGACCACGCGTGGTGCGAGGGGGACTTGCTGCTGTGGGACAACCTGCAGGTGTTGCACCGCGCAGGTGGTGGCTCTGGTGACAGGCCGCGGCTACTGCTGCGCACGCAGACGATGTACAGCTGAGGCGGGAGGTGTATCAAGGAGAGAAGGAGACTGAGACTCACAGAACTCCTCTTTGTGGGACCGGGTAGATACCGTCGGAGAGCACCCAGGAAGTGGCCCAGGTAGGTAGGAGCCGTACTTGCTCTCTTTCTTGTGTGTATCGTGTGAGTTTGACCGCGTTTATGTCCATGCACTCGCCAGCCCGAGGCCGCAATGTACCCGGGCGGAGGCCGCATCAGCGCGTCTGCGTAGGTGACGCGAGCGTCCACGACCGAGAGCCGCGGCCGCTGGCATCGACAGTGAGCTCACTCGTGATCTCTTCCCCGGTAGAAAGGCGCACACCGGTCACATTCCCGCCGAGGAGACCGGCTACTCTCTCACCGCGGCTGCGCAGCGATATGAGCTGCTTCTCCAGCGCTCGGCGGCGAACCGTAGAGCCGTATGTTCGATGAGCGGCCTGCTTGCCAAGATCGTGCCGATGCCCTCACCCGCGGCGAGGCTGCTCTCGCGCCACATGCCTCCCATGTTTGACTTGACAGATCCCGCCGCGCAGAAGTCGATGCGCTCGCCGCCCGCCGCAACCAGGTCGTCGAGCACCCCTGGTAGAATTTCCTCTGCCGCACGCGCCCCACTGGCGAGCAGGGTGTGCAGGTGGCGAGCCTGCGGCACACCGATTCTACCCCCCGCGTCTGCTTCGAGCGCGTCTTTCTCGATCAGAGTTACGCGCCGTCCCTGGTCAGCGAGCACGGATGCCGTGAAAAGTCCAGCGAAGGAGGACCCGAGGACGACGGCGTGGCTCCGCTCCACACCAGCGATGGACGCTCGCGCCGGGGACCGCACGATAGCAAGTTGGGTCTGCCTGTAATTGCTGACCAAGCCTCTCACCACCGTCAGCGCAGATAGGTAGTAGAGGTGCGTCCCGAGTGGCATTATGTAGGCAATGTAGGCATCCGGTCGGCGACCACATGCATGTTTGGGGACGGGCTGGATGCGTCCGCTTTTGCGTTCACAGCGACTCCCGTTCCTGGGTGGTGGAGGCACGTCCCTGTTTCTTATTTCAGTCCGCGCCCTTGTCGTGCCAGTGTGCTAATAAGTAAATAAATGAAACGGACACACCAAACAAGGGGTGGGAGAAGGACAGGGTCCCCACCTGCGCGAGCAGGATCTTGTAAGGACGATCAGGGACACAGGGGAACGGGAGCGGGGAGCGCATCGCGACACGGAGGGGGGCTGGGCAGGGTTCACCCACACGACAGGGTCCCAGGGATTCCCCTCTCGTATAGGACAAAGTTGCACCCGGCGGCACGGGGGCAGGCGCGGGCCTCCTACTGGTTGCGCTCTCCTAGTTCTCCTGCTACTGACAAAAGGGGCAGCGACAGGTTCGCAGCACGGTGGACTCCCTATTCCTCTGGCGATCTCTCTCGACTAGCGACCTTCCTCCGGCTTCGCACTGGCAGTCTCTCACTATGCCAGTATGCTGTTGAGAGAGGCTTCTTTTAAGAATTCTTCTCTCACAAGTTTCGCGCGTCCCCACGATGGTGGCTGCCCTTGGCGGCTGCCACCGTGGGAGCCGACCTGGAGATCCTCAGCGGCTGCAGCCGCCCGCGGCCGCTGCCGAAGGCACCAGTCGCACGGACTTCAGCTCGGTACACGCGCTGCCGGCCGGTGGGCCACGCTCTGATGGACGACGCTCTGGTGCCCTAGACCAGCGCCAACCCCAACAGAGCTCTCCCGGCCGGCCGCCGCGACGCGACAGCCTGGTCCTCGAGCCTCCTGCTGCTGCCACGGCCCGACCTCCAGGCACAAGGCTCGCCTCGCAGCAGCCCGAGCAGCAGCCCGAGCAGCAGCCCGAGCAGCAGCCCGAGCAGCAGCCCGAGCAGCAGCCCGAGCAGCAGCCCGAGCAGCAGCCCGAGCAGCAGCCCGAGCAGCAGCCCTCGCAGCAGCCCTCGCAGCAGCCCTCGCAGCAGCCCTCGCAGCAGCCCGAGCAGCAGCCCGAGCAGCAGCCCGAGCAGCAGCCCGAGCAGCAGCCTGAGCAGCAGCCTGAGCAGCAGCCCACCTGTGCCTCCGCCTTTGCCCCGACCTCCTCCGCCCCCTCCACCTCCGCAGCCGCCGCCCCTGCCTCTGCCGTCTCTGCCCTCTGCTGCCGCCACTGCTCCTCCTGTGACGCAACGCCATTCTGTCGCTGTCCTTGTCGTACCGGTATCAGCCTCTCTAAGAGCATCCGGGACGACTCCACCCTTCATTCCTGCTGCGCTGCCGCGAGCTACGCTGGGGGCTATGTCGCGTGTGGCGCTGCTGGCGGCTGCGCTGCTTCCTTTGCGGGCGTCGCGTGCAGCGCTGCTGGCGGCTGCGCTGCTTCCTTTGCGGGCGGCGCGAATGGCGGCGCGGCCGGCGGTACCGCTCGCGTCGGGGCGAGTGGCGAGCCCCTCCTCTACCGCATTCCGAGAAGGAAGGGCGAGGTCGAGTGCAACGCGACGAGATGCCTCCGCCCCACCGAGGACGGCGGGCTCGGCATGTCGGCGGAGGAGGCGGAGGCGCGCGTCAAGGCGTGCAACATCCCCCTGCAGGTCGGCGTGGGACTCGCTGGCGGAGCCGAGGTGGCGATTCAGCTGCTGCAGGAGCATCTGCGGCGCAACCCCGGCCACGCGATCGCCTCGGACGACAAGCGCAACGGCTTCAACTGCATCTCTCGCAAGGCCATCTTTGCGGGCCTGCGGCGGTGGTTCCCGGAGCTCATCCCGACCGTCGCGCTGTGGTATAGCGAGCAGCGCCGCCTCTTTCTCTTCAACGCAGAGGCGCGGTGCAGCTCGGGCGACACCTTCATGTCGACCGAGGGCTGCGCGCATTCTCCAGCGCTCGGCGGCGAACCGTATGTTCGATGAGCGGCCTGCTTGCCAAGATCGTGCCGATGCCCTCACCCGCGGCGAGGCTGCTCTCGCGCCACATGCCTCCCATGTTTGACTTGACAGATCCCGCCGCGCAGAAGTCGATGTAGGCATCCGGTCGGCGACCACATGCATGTTTGGGGACGGGCTGGATGCGTCCGCTTTTGCGTTCACAGCGACTCCCGTTCCTAGAGGTGGGTGGTGGAGGCACGTCCCTGTTTCTTATTTCAGTCCGCGCCCTTGTCGTGCCAGTGTGCTAATAAATAAATAAATGAAACGGACACACCAAACAAGGGGTGGGAGAAGGACAGGGTCCCCACCTGCGCGAGCAGGATCTTGTAAGGACGATCAGGGACACAGGGGAACGGGAGCGGGGAGCGCATCGCGACACGGAGGGGGGCTGGGCAGGGTTCACCCACACGACAGGGTCCCAGGGATTCCCCTCTCGTATAGGACAAAGTTGCACCCGGCGGCACGGGGGCAGGCGCGGGCCTCCTACTGGTTGCGCTCTCCTAGTTCTCCTGCTGCTGACAAAAGGGACAGCGACAGGTTCGCGTCTTCTGATAAACGCAGTATGGAAGATACAAAGAGACGGAGGAGCAACGAGCGCCCTGGCGTGAGCCAAAGACACAAAGAGACGGAGGAGCAACGAGCGCCCTGGCGTGAGCCAAAGACACTCCCTCCGTAGACACTGATCACACACGGGTGGGACAGGGTGGGTCACAACAACGAGGCACGAGAGCGTGCACGACAGAGCGACAACGCAGCGCACTGCCGTCCAGTCGGCGAAGGGACGGCTGCTGCGCAAAGTGATCAGTTCTAATGAATGTACCGGGGCCCAACGGATAGATGAATCCGGGGCACCCTCCGCTCGAATCCCTGGCCGGGGGTTCGAGGTGGCCCCCACCCTGGGGCCTCCCATCAATGGGACTGCTGCAGAAGACGCCCAATCTTGCACAAGTGCAAGAACCATCCTCCTTTTTAGCAATACCAAACAACTCTAACACTCACACGTAATTTGGGGCCTGGAGCCCTGTTTTGTTTTGAAGAACCATACAGCACGGTGGACTCCCTATTCCACTGACGCTCTCTGGACTAGCGACCTTCCTCCGGCTTCTCACTGGCAGTCTGTGAGCCGGTGTGTGTGCCAGTCCGCGCCAGTCCGCGCCCTTGTCGTGCCAGTGTGCTTGATTGATTGATGTGAGAGAGGCTTGTTTTTTGAGCTTAGCCTTCGATGTAATGAAACAACGCAAGGCGGACACATGGCATATCGCTCTCGGGCCCACAGACATCCCGCACACTCGCCGCACACCCGCCGCCCCCGCGCGCGCCCCACCCCGGCCGGGAGAAAGGGGAGTGACAGTTTGGGACTCGCAAGCCCGAGTATGTTGAGTCCTGGCTCAACAACGCAGATAACAAGAGGGGGTGGTCCGGCTCACAGGTCCGGCTCACGCGCCTCGAGCTCGCCATCTACCGCACTGAACACTTCCGCCCCCTCGCTCCCAACCCATCCACCCCGCCCTGGGCCGCGCCGCGCGATCTCGGGCGATCTCGCGCGATCTCGGGCGATCTCGGGGCCGCGCCGCGCTATCTCGGGCGATCTCGCGCTATCTCGGGCGATCTCGGGGCCGCGCCGCGCTATCTCGGGCGATCTCGGAGCGTCGCTCGCGCGGCGTCACACCTGCTCAAAAAGGAAGGAGGTTGGAGGCAGGAGGTCACGCCCCATCCAGAGCGCCGTCGTCGCCGGGTTTTTGGCCCCCGGGTCGTCGCCCGACGGTTGCTGCGCGGGGCAGCAGACCACCGGACGGCGCGACGACGCCCCGTCCGGCACGCTCCCCCTCCACCCGGCTATTGCCGCACGAGCGCCCTCAGCGGCGGAATTTTTCCCTCGCGCTTCCTTGGGCCCCCGGCAACGCCGACGGACTTCCCGTCCCCCCACCTGCGCCGCAATCACCGCCGTGATTGTCGGCGCTGCGCCCCTTGGCGCCTGTGCATGTCCCGCGTGCCCGCCCGCCAAGGCTGGTGCCAAGGCCAACTCAACTGCCAAGGCTGGTGCCAGGGCCAAATCAACTGCCTGGCTGGTGCCAAGGCTCAAAGGCTCTCCTCTCTCTCTCTCCTCCCTCTCTCCCTCCCTCCCTCCCTCCCTCTCACCCCCCCCTCTCTTCTCTCCTCTCCCCATCCTCCTCTCTCCTCTCTCCTCCTCTCTCCTCTCCTCTCCTCTCCTCTTCTCATCCTCTCCCCTCTCCTCCTCTCCTCTCTCCCCCCCTCTCCCCCAGCAGCTTCCTCGAGGCCGAACAGGTAGATCCTCCCTGATCGCTAAGCTACCACAGGGGAAGTAGACGTCGTCCGCCGCCGCCTCCGCCGCCCGCGTGCCTCCGCCCCGCTCAGCAAAAAATCAGCATTATATCAGGAGGTGCCAACGCAGCAGCATCTCCATGAGGTGAGCGTCGTGCGTTTTGCCGCCGCGCGCCGCCGCTGCGCCGACTGGCTCCCGGTTCGAGTCGTCCTTCGCGGAGCGAACGCGGCGATACGAGCGCACGTCGCGCGCGTGTGCGCCTGCGACAAGACGAGACGAGACGAGAAGGAGAAGTAGACGGTTGATGCTTTTGCTGCCGCGGCCGCGCCGCGAGCTCGCGTCTGTTTTGGCGCCGACGACGCGACGCGCCCCGCTGCGTGAGATGGCGCCGCCGCGGAGTCGGCGCCGCGATCAACCGCGCGCCAGCGGCGAGCGGCGCAGCGCGGCCACCATGCGGCGCGACGTGCCCGCCGACGATTTTTTTGAGCTTGTTTTTAAGAATTCTTCTTTCAACTCTGTTCCCCACATCATCATCACAGCATGGTTCTTGGTCGTCGCTCACTCAGCTCGCTCGCGCGGCCAGTCGTTACGCGGCTCACGTACCCTGCTCGGCCGCCTCGTGGCACACAGAACGGACGTGTCGTCACACCAGCGCACTGGGAGAAGATCGGCGGCATCTTCCCACAGGAGCCATGGCGGGGTGCGCTGTCGCTCCTCCACACCGTCTTTGCTCTACACTGCCTCTGTGTGCTGCGCGTGGGTTCATACATGACTCCACAGCCTCTCGTCACCATCATCCCTCCTCCCAGGTGACAGCTCAACGCTGCACGATGAGGAGGACCCACGCACGCTCGAGGTTCGCGACGCGCGGCAGGCAGCGTCGCCGCTGACGCTCCGCCGCAGTGGCTTCGAGCTTCGCCACTGGCCGTCAGCCGTGGTCGACTTTTACAACGACGACCTGATCCGATCGCAGTACTACCCGGAGACGGCAGAGCTGGTCCGAGCGGCCTGTGGCGCGGAGGACGTGTTTGTCTTTCAGCACATGCGCCGCGACTCGAGCGCGCTTAACAAGGAGAGTGGCGAGGAGTGGTCTTACGTGTATGATATCATCATGCCATGACAGATCATCACTGTTGTAGGAGAGCGGCGGCGCGCGCAACGCCGCCGAGGCAAAGGCGCACGGTGCGGTGCAGCGCGTGCACGCCGACTACACACCGGAGAACGGTCCTCGCAAGCTCCGTGAGCTGGCGGAGGCGGGCGTGGTGTCAGAGCGCGAGATCGCGCACCGGCGCTGGTCGATCGTCAACGTGTGGTGCCGCTGCGTCGCCAGCGAGCGCACCGCGCTGCCCTGCAGACGATCACGGCCGATGCAATGTCAACGAGCTAGGCGCTCGATCGACGCCGAGCAGCCAGTGCGCGCGCAGCCGCTAGCCGTGCGGCGGCACTAGATGCGTGTGTACGTTTGTACGTTTGTAGCCCACGAGAGGTCTGGCCCGCGTGTGCATCCTCTCTTCCTGCCCTGCTCAGCGGGTGCTCGGCTACGCGCTCCTGCCTGCACAGGTCCTGGACGCGTCCACGGTCGCAGCCGAGGACACGTTCACGTACGCGCTGGTGATGGACGAGGCCGAGCCGCCCCTCGTCGGCTTCAACAACGGGGTTGCGGCTACTCGGCTATATCTCGGCTATATCTCGGCTATATCTCGGCTATATCTCGGACTCATCTCAGACACATCTCGGCTAGATCTCGCTCGTTGGCTCCAACAGCACGGGGCCGCCTTGGCACCGAGGAAGGAGGCCCCTCGACGCGCCGAGCTGGCCCCTCCGCGGCGCGTCCCCGCAGGTTGGCTTCTCCGAGCGGCACGCCTGGTACTACTACCCGCACATGCGGCACGAGGAGGCGCTGCTCTTCTACACGTACGACGGCACTGCGCCACTCGAGGGGCCCCGCTTCGTCTTCCACACCGCACTCGGCGACACGGGCGGCGGCGGCGAGGCGGCCGCGCCGCCGCGCAGGAGCATCGAGTGCCGCTGCCTCGCGCTCTTCAGCTAGGCGGGCAGACGCGTGGAGCCCGTGCGCGATCGCCGGCTGTACTGTGCCGTTCCACGAGGCTGGTACACCGCCTCTGTAGAGTGTAGTAGTGCTCACCACGGCGGGCGCACGGCGGCCGCATGCGCGCCAGTCGGGGTGTCGGGGTGTCGCCCAGTCGTCTTGTGTGACCCTTCCTCCCCCACGTGCTGATGAGCCGGCCTGGGTGGCCGGTGAGGCGTGCGTGGCCACGGTGAGAGGCGGCGTGCGGGTCCACAGTAGAAGGAGGCCCCGTTTTCGAGCCGATGTACTCTATACATGTTCTGGTCACTCAGGGGGATCACACCTCACAAAAAGAAGGAATTCACGTTGCCATAGAACTCGAAACCAAAGGGAAATTTTACCCTCAGAACGTCCGACCGGCCGCCTTCACGACCCCTCCTCACTGCTCAAGCGCCCACGCCCACGCCTTCGATCTTCTTGGGCAGCAGCTGGTTTGACAGGTCCTCCCCGTGGCCCAGGCAGCCGTCCTCGCCCTTGCCCCAGGTAAACACGGCGCCGTCGGCGGTGATTGCTAGGTTGTGCTGCTCGCCCGCCGACACAGCGACGACGCGCTGGCCAGCAAAGGCCTCGACCTGCTGCGGCTGCCGCTGGCCCTGCTGGTCGCCGTGGCCCAGCTTGCCTAAGCCTCCACCGCCCCAGCTCCAGACGGCGCCATCGGCGGTGAGGGCGAGGCTGTGGTACCCTCCAGCCGACACAGCGACGACGCGCTGGTCAGCCAAGGCCTCGATCTTCTTCGGCAGCAGTTGCACCTGCTCGTCGCCGTGGCCCAGCCGGCCAGAGGCTCCAAAGCCCCAGCTCCAGACGGAGCCGTCGGCGGTGAGGGCGAGGCTGTGGTATCCTCCAGCCGACACAGCGACGACGCGCTGGCCAGTAAAGGCCTCAATCTTCTTCGGCTGCCACTGGTGTTGCCCGTCGCCGTGGCCCAGGCGGCCGAATATTCCCGAGCCCCAGCTCCAGACAGCGCCATCGGCGGTGAGGGCGAGGCTGTGCTCGCCTCCTGCCGAGACGGCGACGACGCGCCGCCCCGCCAAGGCCGCAGCCTTCTTCGGCAGCAGTTGCTCCTGCTGGTCGCCGTGGCCCAGCTTGCCATCGGCTCCACCGCCCCAGCTCCAGGCGGAGCCGTCGGCGGTGATGGCGAGGCTGTGGTAGACTCCAGCCGACACAGCGACGACGCGCTGGCCAGCAAAGGCCTCGACCTTCTTCGGCTGCCACTGGTGTTGCCCGTCGCCGTGGCCCAGGCGGCCAGAGTTTCCATAGCCCCAGCTCCAGACGCCGTCGGCGGTGATGGCGAGGTTGTGGTAGACTCCAGCCGACACGCTCGCAGCACGCTCGTCGCCCAGCGGAGAAGGGAGGCGGGTCGGCTTGTTGAGCTGCGGCACGCCCTCGCCGTGGCCGAGTAGTGGCCCTGGAAGGTAGGACGGCGCAGAGCCGCACGACGAGAGCCGCCCCTCGCCGTCGATAAAGACGCTGTGCGTATTGCCTGCCGCCGCCCTCGCCGGCGGGTTGGACTCGCGCAGCAGCGCATAATAGCACAGCCACCGCAAGGCGCAGCTCTCGCCCTCTGGCTGCGCCGGCAGCTCGAAGCCGCGCCCTTGCGCCCACAAGCGGATGCCCTCCGCCGCGAGCGAGTGGAAGAGCAGCGAGACGGCCGCGACGCGAGCGATGTCGACGGGGCTGTCGAAGCGGGAGAGGACGCGCTCGAGGAGCTCCCTGGGGAGGTCGAGGAGGCGGGCGGGCGGCGGCGCGTCTGGCGAGGGGGCGGCGGTGGAGGCGGAGGCGAGGCGGCGCGAGCGGCGGCGCGGCGGGGTGGACATCGCGAGAAAAGAAAAATTGCCTTTTCGAAGGCGCTCTCAAAAGAATTTTACAAGCAAGCTCTCTCGCACAGGCACGATTAAGAGAAAAAATCCCGCGCCGACCACAACATCAGCGCAGTTGCTCACTACTCCCCAACGAGGCCCGCCTCCCTCAACCTCTTTTCGACCTCATCCTCGAGCGCGTGGATCCGCCGGAAGGGGTGTCGCAGCACGCAGGAAGAGGTGCCAGATGTACGCCTCCTGCACCTCGTCAACACAGCGGACAGGACTCTATTCGTCGTGAACGATCTAACATGCGCTGTCACGATATCTCCACGATGGCTGCAGCTGCGGCAGGGGATCCTGGGAGTTTCCTGAGGCACTGGAGGAGCGCCTCGTTGATGCGGTCGACCAGCGCGAGGGTGGTAGGGCGCGGGACGCGGCGGATGGCAGTGATGAGGCGCACCACACGCGGCTCATCGAGCAGCGAGTGCAATTGTGCGATTGCGTGCAAAAGGTGCACGGCGACGGCAATCCGCTCGGAGGCGGGCAGCGCGAGGTAGCCTTGGAAGCGAGGCATCTCCTCCAAGTGAGAGAGCAGCTTGTCGGCCAAGCTCACATTGAACAGTTTGCTCAGCACACCCACTGTCCGGTCAACTGCTGCCATGGTGTGCATTTCCTCGAGGCACCGAGGAGTTGTAAGGTGTATGAGAAGGGGCCGCAGAGTCTCTTGGAGCACGGGCCTCGAGCCGACAGGTGGTCGGACCTCCGCCACTTGCATCAGCGCCGCCTGCGCTGCCGCGACTGTCTGCGCGTGCGGGGTGGCGTCATTTGAGAAGATGAGCCACCCAAGGAGGAGGCGGTGGATACGGTACCGGCTCAGCGGCAGCGGCGCCGTCAGTGTCGCAGCACCGAGGATCCGGACGAGGCGAGCCCGAGCTGCATCAGACGGCGGATGCAAAGCCGCGGCAGCAGCAGGGTCGGCCAGCGCCGTGCAGTCGTCGACCACCGCCGGTCCGCAGCCACCACGCGTCCACGCTCCACGCCACTGCTCCGTTCCCTCCCAACTGTGGAAGACGTGCGGGATGCATGCTGCCCATACCCGACTCACTGACGCGTTGGCGTGCATCTCGCGCAGGCCCATGTGGCCCAGGATGACTTCCACAGAGTCTCGCGAGCCGAAAACTTCGGAGCTCAGCTCCTCGGATACCGCCTGCGCGCCAGAATGCCTCCGCGCCGTGGGGACGTCGTTTGCGAGCAGCGCGTCCATGCGGCCCAGGAGCGTGCGAACGTCGTCCGCATCCTGGCGTGCGATCGGTGTGCCGCCGGCCTCGGCCACTCTCACACGCTCGACGAGCGCCTGCATGTGCATGTGAAAGCACGCTTGGTGGTGTGTGCCTCCGCTGGTCGGAGGGGTGCAAGGCTGGAGTATTTTCTTTGTTTCATCTTAAGAATTCTTTGTTTCTTTTCTCCGCCTTCAGAGAGTTGTTTTGTTTGAATTCTTTTACCCGCCAGGGTTATTTATACGCCAGGGTTAGGGCTCTGAGGGCCCAACTTGAGAATCGTGCTAATTTGGGTTAGGGATGAAGGCGAAGGACCGACGACGGTGAAGGACCGCAGGTTAGGGACCGATCGCCGCCGCTCACGCCAGCGGACGGTCGTCGTCAGTGATGTTAGCTACGCCACCGTCTACCTCGTGCGACATGCGCTCGCCGGCATCGAGCGAGCAACGTGTTCGACCGAGCGGCTTGCTGTGCGGACGGCTTCTTGTGGCTCTCGTCGAGAGCGTTTTGCGGCCCGGCGGGTGGGAGAACATGTGTCGTCTGATGTGTCACTGTGTACGTCATATCAGTCTTGATAACAAGTACGGTCGATCCGTCAAAGCGATACACTCGTCACGATCACGTTGGACGGCTGGCACGGAGCCCTCTGTGCCGGCACACACAGGAAGAGCTGTACGGCAAGAAGAGCTCGATGGGGAGCGAGAACCGTCAGAGGAGGTTCAGGGGCAACCTGAGTCCTCCGTGACGCGCTCAATCGCTCCCAAGCGGGTGGCTCTCGAAAATCGTCGATATCTTCCGAAAAGACTGCTCTTGCCGCAGAGCAGCCGACGCGATGCAGACGGAGGCGCAGAAAGGCTACGAGTACTCAACGAGTTCCGCGACCTACGCAGTCAAACCTGGGGGGAACTGACCGCATCAAGGCGGACTTCCGAAACCTCCGTGAGCACCTTTGGCGATTCTCGCTCCCCATCGAGCTCTTCTTGCCGTCGGCTCTTCCTGACTTCCTGTGTGCCGGCACAGAGCTCCGTGCAAGCCGTTGAACGTGATCGTGACGAGTGTATCGCTTGACGGATCGACCGTACTTGTTATCCACATCGATGTGACGCACACAGTGACACATCAGACGACACATTCTCCCACCCGCCGGGACGCAAAACGCTCTCGACGAGAGCCACAAGAAGCCGTCCGCACAGCAAGCCGCTCCTCGGACAGGCGAGCTCGCTCGATGTCGGCGAGCGCATTGCGCACGCTTTGGACGGTGGCGAAGCCAAAAACACCGATGGTGGCCGTCCGCTGGGGTGAGCGGTGGCGATCGGTCCCTAACCTGTCGCTCGCGGTCCCTAACCCAAAAGTGGTCCTTCGCGCTTTGGTCCCGAACCAAAAAAGCACGATTCTCAAGTTGGGCCCTCGCTCTCTTGCCCGCAGCCCGTCCCCGAGCATCCGGCCCGCTGGGTGCGCTTCTTAGCTCCCCGGCCCTGGATGTGAGGTTAATGACCGCACTCCAAGCAAGTGCTCCAAGCAAGTGCCCCTAAAGCCAAAACTGTGATAAGTTACCTCATGACAAAAGCTCCTCCCTCCGCGCTTCAAAAGACCAAATAGCCACCCCACGCGTTGCCGCTGGCCGCTGCGGTGTGCGAACGAATAGGGGCCGCTCGAATAAGGCCGCTGTTGGGGGCATCCCTACGCCTTCCGCACGCAAATCACAAATTCAGGAAACGCCTGATGGTCGCTGCCAGTTGACAGCACGAATATGCTAGGGTCAAATAGGCTGTCGACCATCGACTCGTGCAGCTGAACGGAGCCTGGCTTCTGGTCGGGTTTTGTCATGCGCTGGTGGCCCTTGCACGGGCATCCCAGCAGTACGCGAGAGAGCAACAGAGTCTGCTCACCATTCGCGTTGGGAACAGCGTACTGCTTCTGTAATGAGTAGCGGGCGTCACGCGCAAAGTAAGTGCCTCGCCCATACACAGCTGTGGTGTTGTAGTCACGCAAGAAGCCGTTCGATATGATGTCCTTCACGGAGTCCTCTTTCGTCCCGTGCCATAGCCAGCGTTCGTTTGCTTTAACTTTGCCGAGCCGATTGACGAACTCATCCTTCTTCGCGAGGTACATGTTGAACTGACCCAGATTGTGCACCAGCTTGATTGAGATGATGGCCAGACCTTTGCATGTCTGCTCGAGTATACCGCTTACCTCGACGTAAAGTGAGGAACCCTTAGCGACAGGGACGAGATCGTGCGAGGGAGACTTGCCGCTGCCGCGGAGGAGGACTTGTCGTTGCTGTACCTGGGCTGCCCAGTACGGTGGAGGCTGCCCGTACGTTCCAGGAAAGCCAACGAGCTGCGGCGGCGAGGCTGAACCGGCGCCACCGCCGCGACGGAGCTGGCGCTCGAAGCCGGTGGAACGATTCCTCTGCTGCATAGAGCTTAGACCGATATCGTATGCGTTGCCGTGGATGGTAAGTTGGAATGTGTTAATGCCATTGGCCGCAGCCGCTGTGAGCGCAGCCGCACTCTGCGCGTCATACTGCTTCCAGTTGCCACTGCCCGCGTGACTGTCTTCCCACTCCCAAGTGTCTGCTGCTGGGCTTGGAGACAGAGGTTGCGAAGAAGGTGGCACAGCACTAGAAGCTGGTAGATGATGCGAAGGAGGCCGAGGCAAGGCGCGGGCGACGGCTTCTGCAGAAGCCGTCGCCCCCACCACAGGCTCAGTCACACCAAACACCACTAGGTGCTGCGCGCACACGCCGACGAGGAGTACTCCGGCAGCGTCTGTGCCGCCGTGAGGTCGCGGCTGGGCTGGCTAGCACTACGTGGCTGGGTTCACAGCGATTGTAGGAAAATGACGGGAACACTTGACGGTCGCGGCCTTCCGACTCGCGCCTTCGCCTCACTGGCACTATTGTAGCCCTGGCCGGTGCGCGTGCAGAGTTGAAGTTCCGGAGTGAAAATTCGAACGCGTTCTCTCACGGTGACCAAAAAATGTCCACCTCAGAGGCACCTCCGGAGGCAGGCCGCCGCACGCCGGCGACACAGCTCCAGCTGTCGAACTGACCCGCAGCTCCTCTCAGAGCGGGAACTGTGACGAAAGTTGACTGAGGCGGTTGTCAGGAATCATCATACGGATCACATGGTGGCTCTCTCATGACGGAAGACCGCCCGACCACTCCTGGGTGGCACTGCCACCGGTGTCGCTTGACGTCCTGTCGACAGCGTGCCGACAGCGACACAGACCATGTGGGACGCGTCGAGTATCGACCTCTACTGCTTACCCAGCCTTCGAGTGTATCCTGGTTGTGGTCCCACACCCACTGGTGTCCATCTCAGAGACCGCAGGAGGTCATGAGGGTCGATGGGAGTGCCAACCCCACAATGCCTAAAAACCCAGCCCAGTACGTATACCGACGTCGGTACCCGTATACTCGCAAATTCTCGATTCGCGGGCGTTTTTTTATTTTTTTGTTGTCCGACCCTTCGGCCAGGGCATGTGTTCTCGGGGTGGGTCTCCGAGACCGCAATAATATCAATAAGCCAGCACACACGACCCTAGGGGGCAAGCCCGCGCCGCTGTACGGAGCGCTGACAAGTGCAATGCCCAGCCTCCCCCCGCTCACCGCCCACGTCGGGCCATCTACAGCCTGCGCGTCGCGGCCTTCTCGACCCCAACGACCTCGCTCACAGCTCCTCCTTTGCCGCCTCGGCCTCCGCCGCCTCGGGCAGCGGTGATGCGGCCACTCCGCTCGCCGCCTGCTCCCGCCTCCGCGCGTCGGCGCGCTGCCGCCGCTCCTCGCCGCCGCGCGCGTGCGCAAACGGGTCGCCGAACGGCTCGTGCGGGAACCGCTCCGGCCGGTAGTGCCGCTCGACGGCCTGCGCGAGCGGCCCCTGCCCCTGCCGCCGCTCGAGCTGCGCGCCCTCGTCGAAGGCGCGCCTGCACGCCGCGTCGGCGAGGCAGTCGTGCGCGGCGGCGACCGCCGCCATCGCCTGCAGAGCTCGGACAACCTCGCTCAACCTCGGTCGATCTCGGGTCAGCTCGGCGAGACCGCCGCCATCACCTCGGTCGAGCCGCCCGCACGGTCGGGGTGGAGCCGCAGGCTCAGCTGGCGGTAGGCCCGCTTCAGCTCCTGCGCCGCGAAGCCACGCGCGTGTGGTGAGAGAGTCGATGAATACCGCCGGAGAGGCGGAGAGGGGGCGGGAGAGGTGCGTGTGTGATCTCCTGCGCCGAGAAGTCAACCGGCACGCCCAACCGCCAGTAGTGCCCGCGCGCGTCGGCTGCAGCGTCGGCCACCGCCGCCTCCGCCCTGCCCAGCGCGATGCGCCGCTCCTCCTCCGCCGCCGCCGCGGCCGCCACGGCCGCGGGCGAGTGCGGGGGGACGCAGCAGCGGAAGCGGAGGGGCATGCCCCAGCCGCCGCCCCCCTCGGCGGCCTTTGCGTCGATGCGCGTCACCGTGAGCCTAGGGCCGTCCTGCCGCACACGGAACGCGTCGCCGTACGCGTGGCCGTCCTCCCAGTTGAGCTTGTCGACCACCTCGGGGCAGACCTGAGGGACACGTCCACGACACGTCCACACGGCGTGTCCTGGGACGTGTCTCAGTAGGGGACTCCCGGTGCGGCGGTCTGTAGGTCTGCCAGGCGCGTCCCCGGGGCGGGGGCGGGTGGCCGAGCACACACACACACACACACACACACACACACACACACACACACACACACACACACACACACACACACACACACACATCTCCCCATATCTCGCCTGTGCGCGGCTCGACATGCCGCGAGAGACAGAGAGGTGTGTGTGACAGAGGCGGAGAGGAGGCGGGAGAGGTGCGTGAGATGAGAAGTTGAATGAACGCCATCAGTCCCAGCAGCGGAGATGCCGCTGCAAGCGCGCTCTTCCCCCAGCCGAACCCGCCACCGCGTGTGAGGCGGTGTGTGTTGCGTGAGGAGAGGCAACCACGACTACGAGGCGCCCGACTGGCGGTGCGGCTGCCTCTCGGACCAAAAGCAGTGCCACCAGGCTGCCTCTCAGAGTGGCGACGCGTTCGGAGAGCTACGGGGGCACACCGCCGCGGGGTCCGCGAGGCAGCAGTGCTCCTTCTCCCCGTCTCTCCCCATCTCTCCCCATGTCCATGTCTCCCCACATCTCCCCACACCGCCGCGGGGTCCGCGAGGCAGCAGTGCTCCTTCTCCCCGTCTCTCCCCATCTCTCCCCATGTCCATGTCTCCCCACATCTCCCCACACCGCCGCGGGGTCCGCGAGGCAGCAGTGCTCCTTCTCCCCGTCTCTCCCCATCTCTCCCCATGTCCATGTCTCCCCACATCTCCCCACACCGCCGCGGGGTCCGCGAGGCAGCAGTGCTCCTTCGCCGCTGCGGCGGCTCCAGCGTCGGCGGCGGCGCCTCCTGCGCCGCCGCCTGCTGCGCGCCCGCGCGGCGAGAGAAACGGCCCCACCTCGGCCACCTCGCAGCCGGGCGTCGCCGGCGGCGCCGCCTCCAGCCTCGCCTTGTCCCTCCGCGCCCGTGTCTCGGCGTTCGCCGCGAGGCTGAGCCGCTCCCGCTGCACGTGCGCGCGCACCTGTGCGAGCCGAGACCCCACCTCCGCTCTTCACACTCGCCTTGTCTCTCCGCCTGCGGGGTGTCGCTGCACGTGCTGCCGAGCTGCCGCCGCCGCTGGTGCACTGGGCGCGGCGCTGCTACCGCGCCATGTCGTGGCTGCTCGCGCTGCCTCTGCGCTGCCCACGCGCGGCTTGGCGGGCGGGCGACACCATCGCCGCTCGTGCACCAGCCGCCGCCGGGCAACGCATGTGCTGTGAGCCAGCAGGCGTGGCCTCTGCGCCGGGTGCGCGCACGAGCCAGCCGAGGAGCGCCTCGTACCTCTTCATATCTCCCCACATCTCCCCACATCTCCCCAGCGCACCAGCCAGCCGAGGATCGCCTCGTCGTCCCTCTGCAGCGAATCGAGCCGCTCGAGCGACGACAGCGCTTCGTCCGGCCTACAGAGCTCGGGCAAGCTCGGGCAAGCTCGGCCAAGCTCGGCCAATCTCGAATCATCAGAGATTTTGAGAGAGAGATTCGAGAGATCTCGGCTCGGCGGGGGTCGCTCCATCCTCCACCTCCACGCGTCCATCATCAGCAGCGCGCGCTCGAGCAGCGCGGCGGAGTAGTTTGGGTACGCGCGCAGCGCCGTGCCGAGCGCCGCCTCCGCCGCGTCGAAGCGCGCGGCGCCCAGCCGGCGCAGGCTCTGCGCGCGCCGCAGCTGCATCGCCGCGGCCGCCCACCCGCCGCTCGCCTACACACCCGACCTCGTCTCGACTCGCGTCTCGGCGCAATCTCGGCCAACCTCGCCGCCCGCCGCCAGCTCACCCGTGCGGCTCTCTCGAACAGCTCGGCCGCGCTCTCGGCCTGGTCCGCCGACAGCGCCTCCCGCGCCGCGCTCGCGTCCGCCGCCGCCGCGGCCGGCATCTCGTCCTCGGCGCCTGATCTCGGACAACCTCGGGTCGTCTTGGGGCCACGCCGGCCGCGGCGGAATATGTGTCGTCCTCGCCACCCGCGTGCGGGGCGGTGCCCGTGGGAGGCGGCGGCGCCGCCGCGCCAGAAAGCATCAGCCGCGCCGCTCGGCGTTCGGCCGCGGCGGCCGTCGCTGCGCGGTGCGCCTCGGCCTCCTTCCGCAGCGACTCGAGCCTCGCGGCGTCTCGCAGCCCAATCACCTGCCACGGCGGCTCGTCCTCCGGAGCCGTTCGGGACTGTCTCGGAACTATCTCGGAGCTGTCTCGGAGCGGTCTCGGAGCTGTCTCGGAGCGGTCTCGGAGCTGTCTCGGAGCGGTCTCGGAGCTGTCTCGGAGCGGTCTCGGAACTGTGTCGGAAAGGACCTGCCAAGGGAGCTCGTCTTCGTCGTCCTCCGCCGCGACCCGCACTGCGCCGCCGCCCGCCGCCGCGCCGCCGCCGCCGCCGCCGCCTTCGGTGCCGCCCGTCTTCGCTGCCGCCGCCTCCGCCTCGGAAGGCGGCACGCGGGAGACACGATGCAGGTGGGACCAGCGCCGCCCAGAGGAGGGGATCAGCGAGTCTCCGGGGCAGGCGAACCGCTCGCGGAAGTTTGCGTCGAAGAGCACCCATTCGTGGTCTCTGCCGCCGGGCTTCTGCACGTGCGCGAGCGTCCACCCGCTGTGGCTGTGCGGGTAGGCGCCGTGCCCGACGGTGGAGGCCAGCGAGGGTGGCAGGGCGCTCGTCGCTGCGGCGGAGTCCAGCCGCGGGCCGAAGACTCCATTCATCGGGTCGATGCTGCTTCCCGTCACAAAGAAGCCGAGTACGGGCTCAGAGAGCCGCACGTACCCGCCAAAGCGCGGGCCGCCGCCGCCGCCGCCGCCCGAGTAGGGCGTCACTCCGCCGGGCGCTACCATTTGCTGGCCGGCGGTGCTCGCGAGGAGGAGCAGAGCAGAGGCGGCACGCATGATTGCAGCGCAGAGCGCGCGAAGAGCTATACCACGGAGAGGTAGCGCCGACTCGGCCTGCGGCCAAACTCGGCGCCGCCGCCTTGGATAAGCTGTGGGCCGCTCGCAGTCTGGTCGTGGTCGAGACCGAGGTGCCGAACTGAGAGGCACTACTGGAGGCTTCCTCCGGCCACCGCTCGACTACCCACGCACATGGCCGGTCCTGTGGCTTGCCTGGACTCGCTCAGAAGCCTCAATTCGCGCACACCTTTGCTCTCTGGCTCCCGCGAGTGCGTTCAGGCCACTCAAGCAGGCGACGCCAAGCACCCGCAATGCATCTCGCCGGGGCGCCACCTATCGACCCGACTGATTGGCAGAATCAAAGCCGACCCCATGACGGTCCTTCAGCCCCACGAGGTAGGCAGTTGCGCCCTGATCTCGGTCCAAGACGGCCAACGCCGTGTCCGGCACCTGCTGACTGCTTCACGGGGATGCCCCCCCCGGACACATGCTGCAGCCCCGAGTGGATGTATTGGTCGTTTGTGGGTCCCCCAAGACTACTCTAGTAGGGGCCGGGCGCTTGAGCGTCGGCGGTACACCTGTGCAGATGTTGCACGGGTGAAATGGCTCCTCGTACAGGGTAGGAGGCAGGTGGTGGGTTTGAGTGTCGTGAGTGCTTGCAGCCGCGAGTGCAGCACCGTTTGTGACTCCCATGGATGCAGTTGGGTGGGGCACGGTGCTGGGGGGCGGTCCGGTGCGCCACAACAGCCTCCCTGGCTGACCCCCATCCAGTTCGGCACCTCCATCCTGACCGTGGAACCCCAACTTCAACCGGTCATATCTCGGGCGGACTGGCACCTCAGGAGCTCATCCTGGGCGGTTTGGGGAAGTCTTGGGGGTGTACTTGAAGGTGGGAAAAAGAGTTTTGCACGAGATCTTAACCGGGGGGCAGTCTGAGCACCGTGAAAACAGCGGCCCACAGCTTATTTCAAAACGCCTACACACACACTCTATTCGCGGGGGCGGAGGTGTGCGTGCAGACCCCAATCGGGTCCGATTTCGCTGCCGCCTCGCGCCGCTGCTGCCCTCGCCAGCAAGCAGCCGCCGCGGTGCGCGGTTGCAGCGCCATCCATCGTGCGGCCTGGCGGTCGACTCGCCCTCGGCCTCCGCTGGCGGCTGCCGCAAGAGCGGCTGGCTCACGACAGCGTCTTACCGGTTTCGGGTGGGAGAGTACAGGACGTCTGGCGAGTAACTGTGTATGTAAGTGAGATCGGTCTTGGTACCAGGCACGGTCGAACAAGAGAGAGAGATTTTTAGCAATGCCAAACAATGCGAAACACTCGTTTACGTTCCCCGACCCCGGTCCCTACCCCCGCCTGCGCCGTGCGCGGCGCGGCTCTACTCGTAGTGAGGACGAGAGCCATCTCTGATCTCATAACGCACATCTCTCCACACCGCGACTCATCGTTATCCTCTCCTGACAACCTGAGACTCTCCGACCTAGGGCTAATGCTGAACGTACTCAACAGATAGTAGACGTCTCATTGGACATTGAACGACTGAACACGACGGCACAGGCCACATGGCTGTGGCTGCCTCAATCGGACACTCCAAGCGGACACTCTCTCACGCGGCCCGCACCGCCATCCGGCATGTTGACCACGAGTTCTCTCCCGACAGCTCTTCGAGCGGATCGAGCCAGAAGTCCGTCTGCCGCGCCGAGAGCTTCGCCAGACACGTCTGGGGCTCATTCGACCACATGGGCGGCGGAGGCCCAGTCTCAGAGGCGGGAGCCTCCGTCCCCGTGCTGTTGTGAGGCCAACTGATGCACCTCGGCGAATCGGGCGACTGACTCTCAAGCGCGACAGCGTCGAGGCATGCCTCGAGCATACACAGCATCTCGAGCTCGTCTCTGTCTTTGATCCAGTCGCGCAGCTCCTGTGACGTCACTCCAAACTCGCGGCACGTCGGGCTGATGCGATACCAGACGGGGCGCGCACGCGCAGCGCGGACTGCACTCTTTCCTGGGGGCAGGGGACCACGGGTCGCTGGCATACTAGGGGGGGAAGGGTGGTGGGCGGCGACCGCCGCATACCGTCCTATGGCGGCGAGAGTATCGCTACGCCAGGGAGGACAAGGTCAAGGACGCTGCTGTTCGTTCGAGTCGTTCGGTCGGTGGGTTGGGAAGGGGGTCGTCGAGATCGTATCAAGCCGCGTTTCTTCAAGCAGGGTGGGCCGGTCTCTTCGACGGCGCCTACCTATAGGGGTTGCCGTCTGCTGTGCTCCTTTTGGTAGGAATTCCTACCTGTGTCGAACCTGTGTCGGTGAGAGAGAGTTCTGTTTGTTGAATTCTTCAAGCAGTGTGTGCCAGTCCGCGCCAGTCCGCGCCCTTGTCGTGCCAGTGTGCTGTGAGAGAGGCGGACGCGAAGAATTCTTCAATGGGGGACGGACGCTGGCTGCACTCGAGTCCCTTGGCTGGCCGAGACTCCTATGTCATGACTGTTGCGCTGCTCTTTGCGCTCGGCAGCGCAGCCGCCAGCCCGAACTCGAGCCTCCGTCTCGGCATCTTTGCCGAGCCGCAACCTTTCAACGCGCTCTGCCTGCACAAGACGCTCACATGCTCGATCCAGCCTTCTGGCATGATTGCCGCCTCTGCGATGGACTCTGGGCTGCTTGACGCCGCGGTGCTCGGCTCCGTGCCTTGGGCGGCGGCGGTGTCGCGCGGTGTCGAGCTGTCCACCTCGTATATCGTCCACGTCAAGCACGGTGACCAGGGCCTCATCGCAAAGAGCGTCGGGCCGAGGACGCCCTTTGACTTGGCCAACACCAAGGTGGGCGTGGTCAAGGAGTCGACGACGCACCAGGGAATGGTCTTCCTGATCGAGCTCTTCCAGCTCCGCAACGTCACCCTCGTCTTCGAGGACAACGCCCGCATGCTCGAGCTGTGGGACAGCGGAGGGATCGACGCCGCATTCTGCTGGGGCGAGCCCTACCAGGAGCTCCTCCGACGAGTGAACGAGAAGGAGACAGCCGCTGCGCTGGTTGCCGACGCGTACATGCTCTCGCTGTGGGGCTTCCCCACCTTCAACGTGCTCGCCATCCGGCGCGCCTACGCGGAGGAGCCGAGCAACCTGCTCGCGGTCGGAGAGCTCATCGGCGCGTGGGCACTGATCGACGCGAGCTGGCGGTTCGCGGGCGGCGGCGGAGTGACGAGGTTCACGAGCCCCGCCTCGGAGTCGAGAGGGGGGCTCGAGGGTCTAGTGCCGTATGAGTGGCGCCCCTCCTCGCCCGACGGGGCGCTGGCCTACATCGCTGGCATCTTGGGCCAGAACGCGACGGATGTGGAGGTGCGGCGGGAGGTTGCGGTGGAGATGGCGGACTTTCGGTTCGTGCGCGTCTCGGAGCAGCTGAGCTGCGACTTCCTCGACAACACGCCGAGCTGCCTCGCCAGAGGGACCTCGAGCGCCTTCGAGCGGACGCGCAGCTTCCTCTACACGCACAAGCAGCTGTACTACGCGGCCGGCCTCTTGCCGGTGGAGCCCGAGAGGGTCTCTGACCCCGCCATCCTGCTCACGGTGATGCTGGGCCAGTGCCGCCGCTGCCTGGAGGGTGGCGGATCGGCCCACGGATGCGAGGCCTGGCTCTGGTCGGAGTCATGCGACCTCGATGCCCTCTCAAGCCTGGAGCGTGATGCCTCACGGCGGGCGGAGGAGCGAGCGAGACGCCGCCGCCTTGCCGCGGCGCCGCGAGAGCGAGGCGTCTCGCTGGTGCCGGCGCCGCAGCACGCCGCTGCCGCACGGTCGGGCGAGTCGCCCCTCTCGCGCTCGGCGGTGTCGGTCCTCTACACGCACCTGCAGACGCCGGAGGGGCGCAAGGGCCAGCAGGGGGCTGAGGTTGTGACGGCGGCGGAGGGCGCGGTCCGGTGCGCGGTGCGGAACCACGTTGGGAGCGGCGCCGCCGGAGTCGGCCCCTACTTCGACGTGGAGGACGACCGTGTCCGCTTCACCTCCACCTCCAACCTCGGCGAGCTCCGCGAGGGCGACTACTGCCACTGGGTCATCCGCGCCGCCTCGCCCGCCGAGATCGTCGAGGTCAGATCTCCCCCTCTCTCCCCCTCTCTCCTCCTCTCTCCCCCTCTCTCCCCACCGAGATGGTCGCGGTCGTGTTCGAATCGTCCGTAGAGCCGAGGACATGTCCAGGACATGTCCAGGACATGCCCACGACATGTCCACGACATGTCCGACACATGCGCCCGCAGGTGCTGTTCGACGCGTCCGTCGAGGTGTGGCCGGGCGAACAGCTCTTTGCGCTGGCCGGGTGGGACAGGGACGCGCCCCTTCTCGCGCAGCTCAGCGGGCGCGGCGGGCCGTGGCCGCCTCTGCGCGCGCACGGCGCCCATCTCCGTGTCTGGGTCCACGGACCGAGGCTCACCCGAGATGAGCCGAGATGAGCCGAGATGGCCCGAGATTAGGCGCCATCTCCGTGTACGGGTCGACGGACCTCTCGCTGCGCTTCCGCACAAACGCGAGCGGCTGCGCGAGCCGGGAGGACTGCCACGGCGGCGTGTGCCGCTCCGACGGCCTCTGCGACTGCCCGAGCGGGTACTCTGGCGCCGACTGCTCGTATGCGGGCAGCTGCTTGGGCGACGTCGTGTCGACGAGCGAGACGGGCAACTTCAGCTCGTCGGGCGGCGCGCTGGGCGCCGGCGAGCAAGACACGCGCTACGGCAACCTGGCCAACTGCTCCTTCTCGGTGCGCGTGCCGGGGGCGCGCTTCGTGCGCTTCCTCGTGCGGTACGACCTCGAGGACTCTCACGACTTCGTCGAGGTGCTCGGCGGCGCGCACGGCGCGCTGCTCCCCATCGTCCGGCTGACGGGTGCAATCTCCCGCGGATCTCCCACAGATCTCCCATCTCTCTCCCCAGACCTCCCACGGATCTGCCCACACCTCCCCACATCTCCCCACACCTCCCCACATCTCCCCACATCTCCCCACATCTCCCCACGGATCTCCCCACGGATCTCCCCACGGATCTCCCCCCATCTCCCCCCATCTCCCCCCATCTCCCCCCATCTCCCCCTCGTCCGGCGGGCCCCACGTCGTCCGCCGTCTCGAGCCCTCTCCGAGCCGCCCCTGAGCCGTTCACAGGCTCGAGCGACCGGCTCGGCGCGAGCCACGCCCGCATGCTCAACGCGGGGCAGCCGCAGCGGGTCACGGTGGCCGCACATGAGGGCGTCGCGCAGCTGCGCTTCGCGTCCGACGAGGTCGGGCGGCGCGGCGGCTTTGTCGTCTCGTACGAGGCGGACGGCGAGCGGGCGTGCCGCTCCGACGAGGACTGCTCGGGCCACGGGCGGTGCGGGGAGGCGGGGCGGTGCGGCTGCGACGGGGGGTGGTACGGCGAGGCGTGCTCGAGCCCCTCGTGCCTCGCCTTCAACTCGGACGGCGGAGGGCGGATCGACTCGCAGGCCGCTTGCACGCACACACCACACACACACACGCCACACACACACACACACACACACGCGCGCCACACACACACACACACACACACACACACACACACACACACACACACACACACACACACACACACACACACACACACACACACACACACACCACTCTCACTCACTCACCACAGCCTTGCCCCACCCTTGCCCCGCCTGTGGAGTCGCTCGCCGCACTGCCCCCCCCCCCCCCCTCCCCTTCCCAGGCCGAGGGCCTTCGCGGCGGGATCGCCGCGATGGCCGACTGCGTGTGGCCGATGCAGGCCGAGCCGGGAGCCGTGGGGGTGCGGCTGACTTGGGACGACTTTGACCTGGAGCCGTTCGACACTCTCGAGGAGGCGGGCGACGTCGCGCTGCTCGAGACGGCGGATGGGCGGCCGCTCGCGCTCAAGGCGGGCGGCAGCCGGCTCGCCGTCGTGCGCTGCGACGTGGACGACCACTGCGACAAGGAGCTGCACCCGTGGATGCGGGGCACGTGCGAGGCCGGGCTGTGCGCCGAATCTCGAGAGTACCCGAGGCTGCCCGAGATTACCCGAGAGTGTCCGAGACTAGGCCGGGCTGTGCGCCGTCACGGGCGGCGCCTTCGACCTGCTGCCCGTGGAGCCGCGCGACGCGCTCTACTTCCGCCTCCTCACCGACCGCAACGACCGCAACCAGAGCTTCCGCGGCGTGCACGCCAGCTGGGAGTCGCTCGAGGCGTGCCCCTATGCTGACGGCTTTGGCGACGGCGCCGCCGACTGCTTTGGCGACGGCGCGCAGTGCCACTACCCCGAAGGTAACGCGCCAGGCAGCGAGGCGGCGGGGTGGTGCGAGTGCCACGGCCGCGCGTGCGCGTGCGCCTGCCGCACCGAGAGCGAGATGCTCGAGCTGGCGGCGCTCAAGGAGAAGGTGCAGGACGCGCAGCAGCTCGTCTTCGACTCGGAGATGATCATCGTCGCCGCGGTCGCCGCGCTGGTCGCCACGCTGCTCTGCCTCGTGCTGTGGATCCGCCTCTCGCGCGCCCTCCGGCCCAAGCTCGCAAAGTACGGCCACCTGATGCGCCGCCTGTGGCGCATCCTCGTCTTCAACCTCAAGCGGTGGGCCCTGCGCGTGCGCCGCGGCGCCTCCAAGGCGTGCAGCTTCTAAATACATGAATGGAATGATGGCTCAGTGAGTCGACTCATAACTAATGCGCGCCGCGCCGCCTCCAAGGCGTACTCCTTTCTCCGCCGCGCGCCGGAGTGGACCGTCGGCCATTACCTCGTCGTCTCGGAGCCGGCCCTCACCTTCCTCTCCGTCCTGCAGCTGGCGCTCCGCGCCTGCTCCATCGTCGAGTGCTGCTACGTCGTCGCCAAGGTCATCGAGTTCTCCCTCAGCGACGACGGCTACTTCTCGGCGACCGAGCGCATCATCTTCTCGGTCAACGCGTTTTACACGGCGCTCTACCTGATGCTCGCTGTCACGGAGATCCTCTTTTCGCGCCGCGCGGTGGCCAAGGAGTCGGCGTCCGACCTGATGGGCGCGAGCCTCATCTCGCTCACCATCTCGTCGGTGATCCTCGCCGAGGAGATCTGGATCCGCCGCAGCCAGGCGAGCAAGCACGCGCACACGCACACGCACACACGCACACACGCACACACGCACACACGCACACACGCGCACACGCGCACGCGCACACACGCGCACGCGCACACTCACTCCACACACGCGCGCGCACTCACTCCACACACGCGCGCGCACTGGGCCCTGCACCTTGAATGCCGTGGGGCCCCTGTCTCCTAGACGTGGAGTCGCGAGGGCCTGCCCTGGCCCTCGCCCCACCACCTCGTGTGTGTGGAGAGGTGTACGTGTACCTTGCCTCAACTTAGGCCATCAACCCGGGCGACGTGTCGTACCTGCAAAACAGCTCGGCGCTGCTGGACACGGCGACCAACAGCGACACCGGCTCGCGCGTCCTCGTCGACATCTCTGGCGCCCAGCTCCTCCCGCACGGGCTGCTCATCACGATGTCGTGCCTGACCATGGGCACCAGCCTCGTCTTCCTCCTCATCGCCGTCCGCATGCGGCGCGAGTTCGGCTGGCGCCTCTTCTCGCGCTTCGGGCTCGACCCAAAGTCGTTCAAGATGGTGCGCTGGCTGCGCTACTTTTGGACGCTCCTCGCGTTTGACGTCGTGATGGCCTTCTTCGAGCTCGTCACCGTCGCGTGCTCCATCGTCATCGACTGGGGGCAGAACAGCGCCGCGGAGCGCGCGATCGCGACGGGCGTCAGCGGGATGGTCCTGCACGTCCTCTTCGACGCGCTGCTCTTCCTCGCCGTCCGGCGCGAGTCGAGGCGCCAGACCGGCTTCGCTCGGAGCCTTCTAGGAGCCTTCTGGGAGGCTTGAAGGGAACCTTTAGGCGTGCCGCTCCGAAGAGGACTGCTCGGAGCCTTCTGGGAGCCTGCGAGGACCCTGCTAGGAGCCTTCTAGGCGGCAGACCTTCTTCGCCATGCTGTTTGGCGTCTGCTCGCCCGTCGCGTACCTGCTCTACTGGGTCTTTGTGCGGCCCGAGGAGTACGTGATCAACATCGACGACGAGCTGCTGCCGGCGCTGCTGTGGATGCTGGTCGTGTACGAGGCGCACCTGCCTCCCAGCTAAGACACATGTCTCTGGACTCCTAGCACTCGAGAGGACACGCATTCCGCCGCATTCCGCATTCTTCCGCCGCATTCTCGTCTTTGCATCCCTCTTCACGCGGTGCTCCGAGTACACGGCACGAGGCCGTGTCCCCGCCGCAGGCGCACATGGTCGCCATCCACACCGTCTCTTCTTTTGTCCGCGTCACCCTCCTCGCGATCGTGTTTGACCTCGTCGCGCACGTGTACGGCCACCGCGTGCAGGCCCCTACCCTGCCTCCCCACAACCCGCCTCCTGCGTCCGTCCCCCCCCCCTCGGGATTGACCTCCTTCCGCAGTACATCATAAATTATATATATTTTTTCAACTATGAAGATTGGGACAAATGTCTTTTTCCCCCCCCCTTCTATA